TGAAGAAAACTCCGTCCACGGGGAAGTCTCTCATTAGTACTTATTCAATTTCAATTTCAATCTCATTGTCACTCAAGTGGGTGGGGTTGAGGTGGGCGCTTATTTGAGTTTCATTGGGAGGGGGAGGGAGTGGTGGTGGGCGCTCATTCGAGGCTGGGCGCTTATTCGAATAAATACGGTATATAAACAAATACGAGCTTCAGTGAGCTGTATCGCGATGACCTCTGATTTCCCAAGGGCTTGAGAGCTGAAAAAATGAAACAATCCATCCACAGTTAGGAGAGCTGGATAAGAAAATAGCTTTTGTTGCTTTTTTAAAGAAAACAACCCAAACAAAACCTTGCATTAAGATGATTCAATTGTTATTATTATCAAATTAACTGGCCCGCCATTTTGGACTTGGAGAGTGTGGGGACTGGACTGAGTTTCCATCCAATCCTTCTTCCGTTTCGCGGGAATTTTTTGTGTTTTTCATCAGGTGTGTTCGCAATTCTAGAAAGCAATCTGTTTCAGGATAATTTTACGACGTCATCACCTTGTCCAGTGTCGCGGGATTTTTTTTTGTTTTACATTAGGCCCCAGTTGTTCAAACGTTAAATAGCGCTATCCACCGGATAAATCACTATCCAGCGGATAGGTATGAACTAATTACATTATCCACTGAATAGAGATTTATCTTGGTTGGTAGGAATGCAAAAAAATAAAATCGTTTTTTCAACGTTTTAGTTTTTTGCATTCGTACCAACCAAGACAGGGCTCAATCCACTCATATGCTACAACAGTGTCTAGAGTACTGTCCACTGAGCACAACAAATCAGCAGTTTTTCATCAGAGTCATCTACACTACAACTTATCAGTGGTTATTCATCAAAAGGGGCCCTCGCAATCAAAAAAGAATTAAAATTTTTATAAGTTTTTAAGGGTATTTTAGAGAGTTTTAGGAGATAACACTCATGGTTACAAAAATTATTTAGGTATATTTTGTCATTAATTTTTTAATTGAATAATTAACATTATTTTAAATAATTTTAAATTAAATAATTAAACATTTTTTTCTACTAAAACACACGAATCTTTCGTGCTCTTCCAGAACGAATCAGAGTCAGTTCCCTTTCAAGTACAAAGCAAATCCAATAATATCAACTAATTCGGTCGATTTTGCGACGACGTTTTACTGACATTTTCTCGCTGAAAATGTCAATTTCATCAAAAAGCTTAGATGCAACATATTTTTTATGTGGGCAAATAATGGAAACCGGTAAATTGTGCATTGCGTGATAAGCATGTGCACGTGACAAGCTGAATGTAAAAAAGCAGCTAGAGCTTGTTGTTGTTGTTGTTGTTTTGTTTTTTTTTAAAGAGATTGCTGCGATAAATTTGTTGAGTGTTTAGTGCTCTTCTTAAAGACCTAGGAAATTAACATTTTTTTTAACAGTTTTTATTGAATTAAAGACAAGTTTTACATTGTTACTTAAGAATAGACATCAATTAAATGAATCAAATTATACAATTCTACTTAAAAAAAGAAAAAAAAAAAGAAAAAGGATAACAAACAACGAAAAATATATGTATATATTACAACAACGAAGATAACAATAAAGATGCCTGCTAATTTTAACGAACCTATGTGTATCAACTACTACAAAGTGCATTAGTTAGCTTCCCCCACTTTTGAAAATGAAAAAGAAGTTTATTTTTCTCCCTGGCGATATGGAGCTCAATATTGAAGACACGTCTTGCCCTAGCAATAAAACCTCTAATTGAAGGTACGCTATTATGACATTTCCTACAGTAGATATAATATTTAGCTAATAACAAAATATGATTAATTAGAATATAGTCTTCTACAATATCAAATTTTCCAAAAATCACACCAGACTCATTAATTGTCTCAACATGAACATCATTATCTCTTAGCTAGGACAAGACATGCTTCCAAAACTCAGAAGATATCCTGCAGGAGAAGAGTAAATGCTCGACGGATTCCACTACTTCTTGACAGAAAGTGCGTTTGGCGATTCCACTACACCAATTAAATTAGGTTTCACGTTTGTAAAGATTATACAATTTAAATTTTGTAATGAAATTCCCTGATCTTTGTGTCCAAAGTGCAATGAAAGGCCAAAGTGTAAGCCTTTTCCCAATCAATATCTATATTTGAGTACTTGTTTGATAGTTTCTGTTTTGCGGTGGGCGCAATTTGCTTTTGCTGCAGAAAGATTTGATAGATCTGTTTAGGAGAGATATCAAGGATTGGCACTACATTACCACTTGGCAACTTAATAGTTGGGGTAATCGGTATGGGATTGGCTGATGTTACGTTTGTAGATGCTTTAATAAGTGAGCGCCATTCTGCGGGAATCGAATTGATAATAATCATAAACTAAAATCTTTGTTCGGGGTTTGTGAGCGAAGAGAAGTCGCACGAGAAGGTGTTGTTCGCAGAAATTAAATCCTTAATTTTCACGAAGCCTAAGTTAATTTCGTTAATGATTTCCTCGTAACAACTTGGAGTCTTCCCATTAACCTCCGACCACGCATCAAAGCATTTCTTATAATATGCTAGTAGGTTGATTTTCAATTTAGAAGTTTGAAAGTTGCAGTGCAATACAAAACGTCCTCCGATTGGTAACAGAAGTTTGTCTAGGATTACTTTCCAAGGACTTGAGTAATCCTCCAATAATTTCTTAAACATGTTATTCGTTTAGCGCAAATCATAGATTGAATGTCCAACATTTTGAGTCCACCCATTTCTATATCAGATATCAATGCCAGACGCTTCACTTTGTCTTTCCCATTCCAAATAAAGTTGTAGAGAACTGAGTTTGCCTCTTTAATTAGTTCTTTAGAGACTAGTATAACCGATGCCCTGAACATAAGCTTTGGGATTGAGAAAGTTTTGACTATCTGTATTCTTCCTAAAAGGGAGAGCCCTCTCCATTTCCATACGTTGATTGATTCCTTTATACTTTTTAAAGTTTGACTAAAGTTAAGGTTGTTTCTTTGTCTATCATCATAACCAAAATATATCCCCAAGATTTTTATGATTTCACAAATACTATGAGTTGGGAAGTTATTCTCCTGTAGGATATCATCTCCTAGAGGCATGATTTCTGTTTTTTCATCATTCACCTTTAGGCCGGAACATTCTCCAAAGGAGTTGAGAATACGAAACAGAAGATTTGTATAAGATGTTTTGTCTTTTAAGACACAGGTCATATCATTTGCAAATAGAGACAGTTTAATCATTTCTTCTCCAATTTTAAGCCCTTGTACATTGCAGTCCTCTCTTATTTTTATAGCTAGGGTCTCAAGCGCTAGTATGAAGAGGCAAGGGGAGAGTGGATCCCCCTGTCTGACACCTCTACCTAGTAGAAAAGGACCAGTCGTAAATCCATTGTTCATTACACAGCTGGATGCATTTTTGTACAGAACACGCATCCACTGAATAAAAGATGGGCCAAAATTAAATTTGTGTAATGTTCTGATTAGAAATCGAAAGTCTAGTGTATCGAAGGCTTTTTCAAAGTCAATTGCGATCATAAATCCCGACCAACTTTTCCGTTTGGTGTAATCTACAATATCATCAATCGTTCTAATTGCGTCAAATATGGACCTACCTTTAACAAATGCATTCAGACTGGGATTATTTTTGGCAGGATCTTTTCCAGGCGCTTCGCTAAAACTTTAGAAATAATTTTCGCATCGATGTTGATTAGCGATATAGGCCGCCAATTTTTAATTACTCCTTTATCCTTTCCTTTTTTTCAATTAATGTGATGATAGCCTGTTTTTGTGAGTTTGAAAGTTCTCCAAACTCATAAGAGTAATTGATGCAGTCTACTAGAGGTTTCCCAATCAAAGACCAAAAAGCCACATAGAATTCTATTGTTAGTCCATCGTTCCCAGGCGTTTTATTTTTTGGAAAGGATTGTAAAACATTAAAACATTCATTATACTCTATCCTTCCTTCACATACCATTCTCAACTCTTCAGTCAAGGTAGGAACTTCCTTTAAGTCTTCTAGAAATGATGATAAATGACTATTATTCTCTTTGTAAAGACTGGAGTAAAAGAATTATAATTCACTAATAATTGTTTTAGGGTCAACTGCTATTGTTCCGTCGCTTTTTAAAATTTTCCGCAAACAACTTTTATTTTTATTTGATTTTTCCAAATTCAAAAAATATTTGTTGTTTTTTTCACCTTTTTCGTACCACGTTGCACGGGAAGGAACAATAGCTCCTTGAGTAATGTAATCATACAGTTGGTCGTATTCTGCCTGTAAGCATTCTAAATCTTCGACATTTAGTCTCGGTGGATCATTGTCACACTTTTTGGTACAGTTCTGTATTTTTTCTTCCAGTTCGTTAAGTTTAGCTCTCCGGTTCCGAGCTTTTGTTTTGCTATAACTTATAGTGAGCTGTCGAATTTTGTATTTTAGCAAGTCCCATAAGACACGCTTGTCAACAACATCCTTAAATTCTTCGAGCCAACTTTTGATGTTTGTGTCAAGGAGATCGCAATAATTATTATCATTCACTAAAGAACGGTTAAGACCCTGTTTACATGGAGTGGGGGAGCCCGGTCTAGTGGGGTAGGTTTCTTTTGTTTTGTGTCCCCCAGGGCGTGACAACAAAAGAAACCAACCCCAGTAGTATAGATGGCTACTTCAGTCGGTAACCAATCAGAGCGCAGCAAAGACAATAGAAACTATTGTTTGAGCAGTCACGTGACTCATTAGCATACGATACGTCATCCATTTGTTCACGTGACCTCTCTCGACCAATCAGAGGGCGGGATTTATATCACGTGACCCTGGGTCCCAGACATGGGGAAAAGAACACGCACACACAGAGTTTGACCGTGAAAAAATCATTTTTTTAATCAACCAATCGCGAGTGGAGCCTGGATTACAAGCGGGACGTGTGTGACGTCCAAGTGACGTCACGCCCATTTTACAAATCTAATAGCAGGTTGAGTTCATCCCCAATCCTCTCGTAGCCATAGGGATAACTCGATTGAGTGGCCACATCGATGACGCGCTTGTCGAACACCAACCCATACTGCTTCACGCGCGGAACCACTTGAATTTGTTTCTTTTCTAGATCCCTTTGAAAATGATAGGGGATGAGAATGTTCAAATTTCGGCGAGAGTCCTGAGGCGAGTTTAATTCCGAGAGAATATTGTCTTTCATGGTGTGAACATTGAGAATGGCGGAGCCGCGGACGTTCAGGGTGAAACCGCGTACTTTGCACACCACTTTGCCTGCGCGTGTCGTGTACCCATAATTCTTGGCGCCCCCAGAAACGAACTCGGTAATGACGTCTCCGTCTAATTCGTCGGTCATGTCCCCGAGAAAATCACCCGTGGTGATGGAGGGTTGATCGGGACGCCATCGGTATATCACGCTGTCCGTATCGTAGTAAAGGACTTGTTCCTGGAGGGTGTCGAGGGACTCGTAGAGCTTCAGTCGAGCATGGCACGTGGTGAAAGCCGCCACAAAGATATTGGTCTTGGTGCCTTTGACGGTATTGTCTTGGGCACTGGTGTAAACGGCCTCCAAGATGTCGTCGGTGCAGAGGCGGAGAGTGCTGATATCGAGGGCAGCGTCGGTAATGAGATTGAACAAATGGGCGGGGTTTTGGACAGTGACGGTGGTGGGTTTGTTGATCCTTTCGCCGAATTTACCCCAGAAGCTATTGAGCATCAGTTTGGCTGTGGCTTTGCGACCTGGATTTTTGGCAATACTGGCAATGTCCAGACGGATGCCCTCCCGCTCTTGGTAAAGAAGAATGTAGTCTCCTTTCTGCTCGAGGGTCTGACACCAGACGGGCCACCCCGCCGATTCCTGTTTGATCTTGAGCCACGTGTTGACGTAATTGGCGAAAAGACCCGTTTGGCGTTGCTCAGGGGGAAAATGCCAGACTTCGTGGATCTTGATGAGGGTGTACCCCTTTTCGACCGCTTTGACCAGTTCGGGCGTGCACCAGGTTCCGCGTAGCGTGCGATCCGCGTCGGAATGAGGGCAATAGCGGGTTCTGGTCAACATGGGTTGGGCCTGCTCTGTCTGGACACAGGCACGGCAGAGAGGAAAAGTGAGCTTTTGGCCACAGCGTACAGGCAAGACGGGGTGGAATAGGCCAGAGGGGGGAAGAATATCTACGGTGGCCAGACCAAAATAGGATTCCAGGGACTGGTCGACAGGTTGGGTGATGATCCGTGGATGACCGATAGGGTAAGGACAGTTTTTATTCATCCACGGGTACAGGGAGGTCACATCCACATAGCGTATCTCCTCGCCCTCCCCAGCCACGGCATGCAGGGCTACGGCGCCGGTTCGACCCCCAAAGAAGGCCTCGCGAGGTTCCAGAGGTGGGGGGAGATCAAATGAATTCAGGAAACGTTTGACTGCTTCATCGGTGTCCACCAATTTATCCCATTCACACTCCCACATTTCGATCACCGTGTAGCCTGCTCGGAGCAGAGCCATGCGTTTGGAGACCGTGGCTTGATGCAGTTCCTCGACGGTTCGATCCGGCGTGGCATAATGTTTGGCGTCTCTCACGGGAAAACAGGTGGGACATCCATGGTAGAGACACCCATGAAACTCATAGACAGTGCGGGTCAGGGGATCGTACCCATCGACAAAATAGCTGTTGGCGATGGTCCGGACGGACTGTTCGCCCCCGTTACGGACATGTCGAATGCGGTCGGCACTGGCCCCCTGCTTGGGAATGAGGTCTTCTTGGTAGTACAACCATTGTAGGGCCTTGAGGGATTGGTTGACTTGGGCCCCTCGCCAGCCACCCAGAGGTTCGACGGCAATGGTGTCGGGGATCAAATGGTGCTTGCGCCAATACAGATTGCAGGCACTGGCAATGGTGATACACTTGGCCATGGGATTAAAGCCAGCCTGCCGTTCGAATTCCTGTTGAAAGGCTTCACAACCGGCTTTCAACAGTGCCACATCCGACTTGCAATAGTCAATCATTTCTTGATTGAAATGGAAGGGCACGTTAGACGGACTTGGTCCGCGTGCCAACGGGTCAGTTCGTCTTTCTTTTTGGCCATCATGCCATCGGGATCGTAAAATTCCAAATCGGGGATGCGGCCGACGTACTGTTGGTGGTCGGGGGTATTGAACAAGTGAGGAAAGAAGCCCTTCTTTAATTCGGTCAAATTGAAGGTGCTGGGAAATGAGGCCAGCGGCATGGGCAAGAAACACAACGAGTCAATGAACTTGACGGGTCCGCTCTTGAAGGACAACACTTTGGCGCCCACGGTCAGTTGATCCACCACCTCGCGTTGTTGCTGGTACAGTTCGTGCAGAATAAACATGCCGTCGAAGCCTTTCAAATTGTGAAACACCACGAGAATCTCCCGCTCGCCCTCGCTGTCCGGGAGGACGGTGAGATCATCCAAATCGCGCAAAAATTGTAGGGCACAGTCCTCCCCGTCCAACACATGGATGGACGTTTCTTCACTCGACGAATAGCACAACAAATTAGCCACAAACACCCCTTCCGCATTTTGCATGGCTTCAAGATCAGCATAAACGAACAGGGGAGAGGGTAGCGCCACCATGCTACCTCCCCCCTCCTCGGTTGGTTCGGGCTCCTCGTTTTCCACCACGGGCTGAATGTAACACTTGTGGTCCTGGATGGGCACCCATTCCTGACACACGGAACACTTGGCGTGCCCGCACTGGTGGCGTCTGTTAGGGACGACCGTGTTCTGGGCATGACACTTGAGACAAGTTTTGACGGATTGACATTACTTGCTGACCACATGATGACGTTTACAATATCCGCCATAAAACTTGCGGTGCCACGCACATAATCCTGACAGTCAAATCGACCACACGCGGAGCAGCGTCTCCCTTGACAAGTATGATTGGTCCGATCGTTGGTGTTGAACCCCCGTTCACAGTCCACGCAATAATAGGAGCGGTTGACAAACGCGGGAAAGGACGTGCAGCCATCAAAATGATCGTTGGATTTCAGTAAACGGATCTGATGAAGGGCGGCGGGGCCTTTGAACATCAAAAAAAACGGTTTCATCCGGGTCATCACCAAGAGTTGATATTGAGGCCCCAACACCTGTTGAAATTGGCGAAGCTCTGGCAAGCCACAGGGACCCTCAGCTACTCCCGCTTGCTGATGTAATGCCTGGGCTTGACGTTGCTGCACTGAGTACCCTTTCTTTAAACTATCGCATTGGCGAAACCCGTCCACGCCTTGATCTTTATGGCAGTGGGCACGCATGGTGACAATGGCACGAGCACAGCGTAAAGCATCTCTGTTTTTGATGGGGACGATATATTTCTTTTTCTTATTGTCTCGATCCAAGCATAATCGTCCCGCATTGCGTTGTTTATGTCGACCGGACCCTGGGCCTGGCATAGACACAAACACGACATCCACTTGGAACCCGCGATCGGGGTTGAAGGCTTCATTGCTGTTTAATTTACCAGCCAGGGTGGCCAACATCTCATCCAAGCGAGCGGTGCGTTGTAAAAACTCCCCCACGGTAAAATTGGCTGTTTGGTAGGCGTGGGTGAGCCCGTGAGCCGTGATGGCAAAATTAACAAAGTGATGGGCGGGTCGCTGCTCGCGGCCGAGTTCCGTTTCAATGGCTTGGTGTAACGCTTCAGTTAACGCCATTCCAATATTATCCCCAGGGACAGGATCCCTCAATTGACGCAATTGCGCATTGAATTGCGCCCGCTCCACCACGTCACGCCAGCGGCGTCGTCGACCTATGGGTTGCATGGTGAATTGAAAGAGAGGGCCGCGGGCGGCGGCGGCGCCTCCCATCTGTTCCCACCGGTCATAGGCGCGGTCCAACAGAGCATCCTCCTCATCGTCGTCACTGAAATGATACCAGGGGTCCTCCGCCATGACGGAGGAAAACAATTTGAATTTCCCGCGCCGGACGCTGGCTTTTATAGACCCAAAAAACACGTGATCACGCACGAGCTGGGATTGGTGGACTAGGCTCAGGTGAGAGTCAGGTGAGGGGTTTATTCGACAGGAAGAAGATAAGGGGTGGTCTCCCCCATGGGTACAGACTCCTTGAGTCTCCTCTGAGCCTGGACCGAGATCGATGATTGGCGGAGGGAACCCTAGATATAGTCCATCGTCCAGGACAGACGTCAGTGTTGTTCGAGATGCCCAACAAAAATCCTCAGAAGGCGAAACAGGCAAAGCACGAGTGGTACCTCAGAAACAAGGAGAGAGTGTTGCAACGGAAGCGTGAACGGCGGGCGGCCAAGAAAAAACTCAAGCCCCCCCGTCCGCCCAAACCACCCCCGACACCGGAGCAGATTGCTGAAGCCCGAGAGGCGAACCGGCTGGCTTGCCACCGTTACCGAGCCAAGCATTTGGCCCAAATACGCCACCTCAACCGGCACTATTACCACCGGAACCGCGAACGAATTGTCCAGCAACAGCGGGACCGTCGTGCCAAGGCTCGTCGGAACGAGCAAGCCCCTTTCCGAAAGTTGCGTGCGTTGCCAGCAGTGTGTGCCGCCCGATTGTTGGAACTAGATCATGGATACGCCAGGATTGCACCAGCCCCGGACAAAGCGGGACCCTGAAAAAAACAAAACAAATCAAAAACTGTATCGACAGCGTCAGTATGCCGCCCTGAATGGGATAGAGGACGTGAAGGCCGTGCACCGTCGACGCTACCACGAACGTATGGCCCGTATGAGAGCGAATGGGGAATACGAGGCCTTCAAGACCAAAAAGACCCAAGAGGGCATGCGACGCTACCATGCCATGTCGGAGGAGCAGCGGAGTGAGGTGAAACGTAAGAACGCCCAGTGTCAAAGAAACTGGATGCAGAAAATGAAGGAGAAGGGAACTTACGAGGCCTACAAACAGCGATTAAATGCGCGGCGGCGAGAGATACAGGCCGAGAAAAAACGAGCTTTGGGCATCGAGGGGTGGAAAGCCCTGCAGAGTCAGAGATACGAGAAGCGGGTGGAATCGATTCGGCGTCGAGAATGGCAATGGTTGGACGAGCAATTGGAGCGTCCCTTTCCCCTACCGTGGCTGCCCTTAGACTGGGTCGACGCTGAGCCTGAAGAGGACAGGGTGCAAACCCTTCGTGCCGAGGCGTTGGAGCAAATGGACTCATACTTGTAAGAACAAAAATGAGTTTATTAAAACATGTGTATTGTGCAATGGAACAAGGTTGTCTTTTTTTATGACTAAGGGGTTTACATGCCCAATCGGAGTTTGGTTTTCATAATGCGTCTGACAATGCGCTCCGTCAGGGATTTGCGGCCGGGGAGTTGATCAATCTTGGCAGTCATCTTGCGATCAGCCACCCATTTCTCTTTCAAATTCTTGGCTTTATCATAGTCTATGTCATGCGCTTTAGCAATCCTGTCCAACCGGTTGATGCCGGGATCCCCACGGGCCAATCGTTTTTTCAAATGGGTGCCGGGTCCCATGTACTGATAGCCGGGCCAATGAAAGTCAATGCCCGTCTTGTTGAGGAGGTTTTGCACATCAAATAACTTGCCTCCACGTTGCGAGCGTCGTCGACGTCGGGAACGGGGCGCAGCACGGCGTCTCTGAGTCCGTCCCATTACGGGGTTTTCCACGTTTTCCACTCCAAGGCTTTCTTGGCCAGACTTTCGGCTTTCTTATGCGGCGTCCGTCGCTCTTTTGCGAATCCCGCGCTTGACCGCTTTCTTGATCGATTCCACACGTTCTTTGGGGGTATCCCACGGTTCTACACCGTACGTGTCTGAAAAAGGCAACTCGTGCGCCAACTCGGCACTACTCACGTGGGGCGTAAACTTGAGTTTCTTTTTGGCACCGGGAGTGATGTTGGGTTTGGGCGGGACAGGTGGTTTTCTGGGCCCTACAGGTGTCGACCCTTGTTTTATACCCTGGGTCGCCTTGACCAATTGCGTGAACCACGTTTGCATGGGGCCCGCCTCAAAATCGTCGTCGCCAGGGGTCGTGGCCCCTGCTGCGCTCACACCACCGGCCAGGGCCCCAAATGGTTGGCGCACTTTTTTGGTCCAATGGCGCAATTGACGGCTCACGGCTTTGAGTTGAGGCCGTTTCCAGGCATCGGGGGCATCGCTGGTCAGGAGCACATGTTGTTTGTCGGCCAAATCGGCGGCTTTGGTCAAGTGGGTATCTTCCACCAATTCTTGTTTGTACTTGTCTCGCAATTGTAAAAAAGCAGGGGCGTTGTCCACCGTGGTGCTCACCATCTCGGGTTCCATGGTGCAACTGAGGTGTCTTGTGTAGCGCATGCAACGTTTATAACATCGGTAGAGTTCAGGCCAGAGGGCGCCCCCTTTTTGAGCCATCATGATGGCGCGTCGTCGTTTGACGGAATGGGCGGGTTTGGCCATGGCGCGTAAACTCTGGGGGTGGCGTTTGAGCAACGTAATGGTGTGTCGGGAACGGGGCACTGTGCCACGGAGGGTGTTCATCACCAATTCACTGATAGCATTGATCTGATCCGCATTTGCCATCCGCAACAATTCTTGTCGTTTGTGTTGATTGGCTTCTTGTAAGACGCTTTTCAAGAACGGGGCTTGACGTTCCATGCGCCACTTCATGATGAATCTTGAGTTCAGGCAACGACCAAGGTCTATTTATGGTAAAAATGGCTCCACACCTGCCACACAATTCGCCATGATAATGCGTTTGCATGTGATCTCGACACCGTGAACACAAGGCCGCTTCATACTGTTCGTCCCAGTCCAAAGCAAACGTGACGGCTTTTCGTTTGGGTCGTCGGTTAGTCCGGTCGTCGAATACGGACTCTTGGTTTGTATTTCCTGAGCCACAAAGGCGAGAGAGCCATTGCCAAAAGCGGTAGCCTAGCGCCGCGTTGTAATCCACGTCGTCGGCGTCGTATTCAAGGGACATAACGATGTCGGCGACCGTTGGGTCCACGGACCATCTTCCAACTAACTCTTGTCCAAGTCCACCCAGGTCTTTTTATACGTTTTTTCACATGATCGAACAATTAAACGATTCCCTCGCATAGCGTTTTCGTTTGCCTGAGGCCACTTCTCGTCGGCGTTTTTCGGCAATTTTGGTGGCACGCTTGGTTTGATGATCTCCTATGGCTTTGGTGATCCCATAACCAGCTTTGAGAATTCTTATGGGCAGACCGACTCCGACACCCCCCACTTGACCATGACGCCGTGGTCGTTTGGTGGGTGGTCGACGTCGAGTCGTCGTGCGTTTGCGTTTGCGCCTAGAAGCCATCTCGTTTTGACATCGGCCACACATGGGTACTAGGACGGTGGAAGGAAGGATGCTGTTTTTATATCCTTTTTACGGGCGTCGACCCCGTCCGCGTGCTCGGCCACGGCCACGGCCCCGACCTCGGCGTTGTGGTCTTGGTGGACTTGGGCTGGACGTTCGGGTGGACGTGCGGCGCACAGAAGCTAGGTCGCCCTCCCCCATCTTCGTACACGGTGGTGACTGTATTGGTGTGCGTGATGTTGCGAATACGTCTGCCCCGAGCACGTTGTTGAGCATCTTCATTCAACAAATCCAACCGTCGCCTTAATCCCCGCCGTCGATCGTCGTCATCATCATCGTCGTCATCGTCCTCCGACGGGGGAGGGGACGAATCGGGGGACGGAGGGGAGGGCACGCGGGGACGTCGTCGGGGTTGTTTGGCGGCGATGGTGGGGCGTCCAGTGGGGGTCGTCACCGTCGAGGTGGTGGTCCTGGTCCCTGCCCCGGCGCTGCGGCGGGCGGTGGAGGGGCGCGGGGGAGCGGTGGTGGTCGTGGCGGTGGTGACGGGGCGTGGGCGGTGGCGTTGCCGTGGTGGTGCTGGTGGTGGTGGTGGCGGGGGCGGTGCCTGTGCCTGCCACAGGTGGTAACGTAAACGCATTCAAGGCATCGTCCACATTGACCGGGTAGGTCAAATTAAAAGTCTCAATCTCTTGATCCAATTGGGCACGATCCACCGGGCGGGTCAATTCGGTCACCATGTCCGTCATGCTGCTGAGATCTTGGAGGGGAGGGGGCGCCGTGGGGGAGCCCACGCCGGCGGGCGAGAGGGTCGGCGTGTCCATGCGGGCCGCTAAGTCAGTATGTTGTCCGCCTTCTCTTTGCCGGCGGACCCTGGCGAGTTCTCGTTGCAGTTCGTTGTCGAACGGCAGGGACATCCACGGGCAGGGTGTGGACTTGCGCCTTGCCTTCTCGGGGCGTTAAATGACTCCACAAGCGGTAGCGATCATCCGACGCAGGATGCACATCCAACATCAAATAGCCAAAGGGGCGGGAGGTGATGCGTTTAAATAGGCGCACGACTTGACGCCACCGGTCAGGAAAGGCTTGCAGTAAAATGGTCCGTATACCTGTTTGATCCCGGGGGTTTTTGAACGCCACGATGTAATGCGCGTTGCGATTGATGGTCTTGGAAAATTTGCCAGGCGGGAATAAATCTTGCGTCAAATACAGCACAGTGATGTTGCAATGATGAGAATCTTTGGTGAACAAATCCAACACGCGTTTGTCTTGTCCCCCTTCTTCCATCAGATCGTCCAAGACCAGCACCCCTCCGCGTGTCCGACCAAACCATTGGGTCAAATGACGGGGGTCCGGTAACCCGCGATGAAACTGAATCCCATCCTTTTTTTGCATACGATCGAACCGGGGTTGCCAGCGATCATAGGCATAGACGATCTTGTTGGGTTTGACTTGAAAGACGTTGAGGTACCGTAACGATTGTTCCACCAACTCGCTCTTACCGCTGCCCGACGGGCCAGCGATGATCACGCTGCTGTGTTGTCGGATCATGATTCCCGCGGTCGAGGGTGACGTCGATAATGACCCGTGGCCCCTTTGGCGCCCATGCGTTTATACCGTTTGCTGCGTCCCAATTGATTGGCAATTTTATACGCTTTGGTCAACACGCTCATGATGCCCCGCCCGTTTTGGCGAAAACGGGGTCGTCGGGAAAAGGCGCGTCGTCGTTGTTGTCGTCTGCGACTGGGCATGCCGTCCAATACTCGCGGTACAATCGTGGCGACTCAAACTGAATCAGACCTTCCATGGTCTCTCTTAAATGCGTTTCACCCAGGGTGTCCATGTAGTGTTTGAGGGAGACCCAGTCTTGGTCTTGCGCCAATTGTCGGGCCACTAACCAATGATACCCATCCCACGCATCGATGCCTTGGACCGTGTTGACCCGCTCGATCGGGTGTGTCCACCAATACAAGGTTTCTTCTAAGAGGAACGCATCCACTACGCGCTGCACATCGCCTCGAGTAATCATGATGACAAAAATGACCTCTCATTCACAAAAACGTGTCGTTTTATGGTTTTTATTGGACCTAATGATCACACTGATTACAAAGCATAAAGGCCTGGCGGCTCACATTCTTTTGCCCGTTGGGTCGGGCATCGACTTCATCTTGTAATTCCTGTTTAATCACCCGTTTCAACTGGTCGGCCACTTTATGATCATTCAACACTAAATTGTCGCAACTCCGTTGACACAAAAATTCTTGATACGACCGTCCTTGCGCTCGGGCTTTCAAGAAAAATAAAGCATAATGGCCACAGGTCTGACTATCCATGGCTTGCAGGGTCATGTCACTGCGAGTCAGGTACTTCCATTGACCCCACCACTGGTGCAGCTCCGGGTTGGTGTACACGTGCAGGGGTATACCATAACTGTCAAAGAACTCGCACTTGTTCTGTTCCGTCCACAAGCCCAACCAATGCTGTCCCGGTTCTCCAGCAGGATCGGTGTTGACAATGTACGCTTGACGGACACTCATGGGGGGTGATCGGGGTAGCTGGTCAGCAGGGTACACCCCGTGAAACACGCGTCGTAATTCGGGGTCCTCCAGGGCCAGGGTCCGCAACACGGTATCACTGAGCGCCACAAACTCCATGACCGGTGTCTTCTGACTTCTGATGCTACATCAGCCGTTGATGTTGTACTTTATACCTCCCAGATGATTGATCTCATACATGTTTTCATACTCGCTCCATACCAACACGGTGATGTTGTGATTGACCGCGGCAGCAAAATCAATGATCAGTCGCACATTGCCCGATTGAAGGGGGTTGCGATACTGGGGGTCATCTGCTTTCCCACTGGGCACATTGTTGAACATGAACAACGTGCAGTTCTTGTCTTGTCCCCAATCACCAGGCAGCAGCATAGGAATCTTGTGTTCATCATAGGCACCCATGGCTTGTAGAAAGCGATCGTACCCCAAGAGATCTTCATAGGCTTCTCCTCCAGTCAGTTTCAGGGTTCTGTAAGGGTATTCTTCTCCATTCAAGGTCTGTCGTATTTGGGTGACGCCAAACTTTTGAAAGGCAAAGGGGTATCTTTGTAGGTCTCCATTGAAGGCATTGGAATGCAATAACCCGACAATCACTCTGTCAGGAAATCGACCCACAAACACATTGTCTTGTTCCCACTGGGTGGTTCGTCCATCGAAGGAAAACGTGCGAATTTCGCTCCGCACGACAGGGTAGCGAACAATCTGTTTGCCCGGCTGTCTTTCTTTCTGCAGTCTGACATAGACGCTGGCATTCAAGGTCACTTTTCTCATCAGCAAGGTGACTTTGATGTCTTCACTGTGGATGGATGGAAATTTCTTGTCAGTCAAGGTTCCTTTGTTAGGGGTGGCCATCAAGTAGACAGAGTTGGGGTTGAGGAAGAGTTCAAAGTCCATCTGGACATTGGGGACCAACAATTTGCCTGTCTTGAGGGGTGGCAAATGGGGGAGAATGATGAAGGTGTGCCAATTCTTGTCCAGCAACCGGCTGGTCAAGGCTCACAATTCTGTATTCCCACTCCAATTGGCGCCAGTGGGGATATCAGAATTGGCTCCTGTGGCTCCCATTTCTGCAATCACATTGAGCTGATTGACCCATCCTTGCGGGGCTAACTTGGTGGCTCCTTCGTCTCGGCTGTAATTCAGGAGGGTTTCTAGGTAGGCTCTGTAATGGTAGGTGTTGCTCTGTTCAGTCATGAGGACCCCATTCATGCTCAGGGTGATATCTCGAAAGATGGTGTGACCGAAATTGTTGACGCAGTAGGTGTTTCTGGTATTGGTGCCATCGGAGTTGGCCAAATTGGCTTTCAATCCTGCATAATTAGCCACTGGATCCGTCAGGCGCACTTTGACTTTGAATCGGAGGGAATTGGGATCGTAATAATCGTCGGAGCCTGGAATCGAGAACGTGATGGGTTGGATGCCCGTCAAGGCGGGTTGAAACTCCACCTCCCGAGAGGCTTCGTACCGATAATCCACATCGGGCACATCAAACAGTTGGAGCGACATAATGCGAACGGTCCACGATGGTTCAACGTCGTCCTCTTTTTATACCTTTTCGCAGTCTGTACCAATCATGGATGGGATGAGCGGATGGAAAGGGGCGGTGAGGAAAATCGATTTGGATGCGTTTTTTCAACTTGCTGAAGAGGTTGCCCCCTTTCATACGTTGCCTCCTGGCTTTTGCTTGGTTGGCCCACAACACCTTCCTGGGATCCCCCCTTGCCAAAAATCGTGCCCCCTTACATACGTTGCTTCAGCCAGCGTGTCATTCTGGCTTTTTCTTGGTCTGCCGCGAGGACCTTCATGGGATCCCCCATGCGCATGCGAGTGGACGTGCCAAAAATCGTGCCCCCTTTCATCTTGCGACGTTGGTGTTGATCCAACCGCCAGGGGTCCAACAGGCGGGAGGACGTGTGCATCAAGGGATAGCGCGCCATGGTCGACTTGCCAAAGATCGTGCCCCCCACTTGATACGGCGAGATGAACCGCCCACGGGCGCGTTGTCGTCGAATACGATTTTGCGTTTTGAGAAAGCCTCCTACACGTACCATTTTTACAGTCCAAAGATGTCCCGTACGCGTTGCGTGGCTCTTTTATAGGTATTTTGGGCGGTCCGTTTGGCCTTGTGTTTGCCGATCGTCCAGGCCATGGCGGGGGCTTTGCGTTTCAATCCGCGGCTGAGTTGCTGGCCTCGATTCGCCAACGTATCCGCCACACTCTTTCCTCGTTGAATATCTTGCTGTCCCGCTTGAGCTTGCTGCACGATCAGGGGTCCCGCCAGTTTGATCAAATCTTCGGCCAACCCTTTGCCCTCTTGCTTGGTGAGCACAGGCGTGTGGTACCGCGTTAAACTTCCTCCGCGCATGTCGGTTCGCGTCGTGGTGCTTTTGTGACCCTCTAGAACACGTGGGGTGGCTTTTTATAGATGTTTGAGACCAATGGTCACCAGGGTTTTGCCAGGGGGTACGACGGTCAGGGGTCCAGCGGTACTCGCAATGTCCACTTCCAAGATATCCTTTTGTTGTCCTCGCACTTTGATCCATTGGTGGTGCAGGGGTTCCGCTGTACTTTCACCATCCCCAGTTCTCAACAATTGCACTTCCCGCAACAGGGGATACTTGCCACTCCCCACCACAGTGGACTCGACTAGATCCGAATAGACCATGACGGTGCGTTTGCGAGTCCCCACCATCTTTTCAAACGAGGCATCCAGGTTGTTCAACTGCCATTCAAACGCCATGTGCATTCTCAGCCATATCACATTGTCCGCCGTCATGATCGTAAAGGCTCTGCTGGTGCAGTTGACGCCCTCGTAATTTTCACCTTCCCAGTTGTAATACTTACGAAATTCGCTGCCTACGGGGTCAGTGGACTCATCGTAGGTGTTGGTCGGCAGAGATTATTGCAGATTCGGACCCAGAACAAAATCTGACGTGTTGTTCCCAGTCTTGCACGTCTTTCTGCGCACCAATCCAAACTTGAGCGCAATGTCCAAGTTGATGTAAAACTCCACCATGTTGATGTTGTTCTGGTTGATCAAATCCTTTTTGGGAACCGCCTGAATCACCAGGGACTCCTCTTTCCAAGTCAGTCGGGGCATGGCGATTTTTTTGATAAACACGATCGGTTTTTCGTCGCGATTGTTGACCAGCATTTCGACTTGTTTTCTCAACTGTTCGGTCATGATTTTGTTATTCACCTCCTGCATCACGCGTTTCCAAAACTGATTCCCCGTCGCCACGATTTGACTCGCATTCATGACCTCTTCCAATTCCAGCATTTGGGTCACCCTTGGGGCTTCTATACGCAGATACCCTGAGGTTGCTGGGTTGCCCGTGTCTGTCCATTTGCAGATCATTTGCGGATAGGTGAATCGGACCACTTTGGTATGAGGATCCGGGGAAATGATGGCATTGCTCTGGCCTTGATCCGGGATGGTCAGGGACATCAACGAGGCATGCCAACCCTCGCCCGGTAAGGAGAGACGTTCGGGCAGTCGGACCTTGAAACTGTTGTTGGCATTGTTGGGAAATTCGTCGGTGGGATCGCTGATGAGCGTCAGGCGTTTAATCTCACTCATGATGAACAAGAGGCGCGTCCCAGAGGGTGCAGGGTCCTTTTATAGCCACTGGTCCACCTTCTGTTTGCTGCGAGGGACGCGTCCCACCAACGAATTGAAGGTCGATTGTTTGGGATGAAAACACACTTGCTGGGCAATGTTGGGAAAGGTCCGGGCCAGTTCCATCAGGGTCATGCAGGTCTTTTGTTTGGGGGGTTTCTTCTTGCGCATGGGTGGATGACGACCCGCGCGTCGGCGTTGTTTGGCCGTTTTCTTGGGTGGGGAACGTAGGGCACCCCGTTTCTTGGCATACTCTTCCGCTCGATGGTAGGCATTGGCGTACGTCGGGCTTACCGTTGTTCGGCCGCTTTCTTGTGGATGAAGTTGAGAACGTCTGCGTCACTGGTGGGAGGTGGAGTGTAACTGGCCCGTGGTCGACTGGAATCCGCCAGGACCTCATCCAGAAACCGCACCCGTTTTTTTCTTTTTCGAGGCGTTATTTTGACGCGGACCATGTTGCGCGGGAATCCAACTATCGTACTTGGCAGGCCACCCTTTCCACCGGACCAACACGTGACGTCCTTTGCGTTTCAAGACTTTTTCGACCCGAAATAACGAGTCGTCCGACACTTGCACTTTTTGGACATCGGGTTCGTAAAACGTGCCTTTTATAGGCGTGTCATCCCATTCACTGAGTCGATAGGTGACCACGGGATGACGACGCACGTGTGTGACCACAAACACTTCTTCCGTCCAGCCCGGCAAATACCCTTTTTTGAAGGGGCGATGTTTCTTGTTGAGACGCACACGATCGCCCACTTGGCATTTGGGTGGGGGGATCTTGAGGTTCAAACGCGACCCGTACAGTCTATCCCACACGTCGGGCACCGTTTTGGAGCTGACTTGGTGCGGGGCAATGCCAATACTGCGATGATAGGCGTGATTGTACGTATGAATCAAGGGTTGTAACACATCCACGTACCGTAACGTATTGTGCGCGGTGAAATATCGGTACATGCGCTGTTTCAAGGTGCGATGCCATCGTTCCACCACCGAGGCCTTGCTATCCCCATACGTGGAAAAATGATGTGTCCCCTGTTTCTTGAACCAGGCTTGTACCCCTCGATTGTAAAATTCTTTGCCTTGATCCGTCTGCACGCGGAGCGGTCGCCGCGGCGAGGCTTGCTGGTAAATGCGTGTCAACCCTCGGATCATCTCTGACGTGCTTTTGGATTTGATGGGGACGGCCCAGGCATACTTGGACAGGACGTTGATCACGGTCAACAAATATTTGTTCCCCTGATTCCATCGACTGAGTTTTTGCATGTCCACTAAATCCATCTGCCATTGTTCGTCTCGGTCAAAGACCAACGTGGGCGTGGTGGGAAACCGCGTCCGTCGGGGTTTTTGGAGCGTATAACTCAACACGGATTGAAGAATCCGTTGCGCTTGCGGGGTTTTCAATTTATGGGCTTTGGCAAAGGGTTGAACCCCACCCAAAGCCCCAGGTTCTTGGGGATCTTCGTAAGCGCGTGACAACGACATCAAGACACTGACACACTATCGTATTCCATTTCTGTCTTTAATAGTTTTTCACACACCTACATGTTTTCAAAACAAGACCGAGCTACCAAAGTTCTTATGCAAATGGCGCCTTTTCTCATACTCTCTCTCCTGGGCTTTGATGGAATCCCCAAACTGATTCATCCACGGACTACGCTTCATCTTTTCTATATCTGGGTCTGGCCTCTCTACATGGTGCATCTCCCAGGGTGGGGATCCCTCCATCTCTCGGCCTTTTCCTTTCAGAAGAGGGACAGGTAGAGACTCCTTGGGCACATTCCCAGGGTGTTTAAGCCATTGGGGTGTGTCATGGACCCATCGTCTCAGGGTGGGTTGCGCTTGCTCTCGGGGACACCACAGGGGGCCATGGAGCCATTCAAAGTAGCCACAGGGTTCGGCATGGGTGAGAAGGCTCCCACAACTGAAAAACACTTTGTTGTAATTCTTGGCCGTGCGACTCAATTTCATCTTGGGGACGAACCCACATCGGCACTTGAGCTCCCCTCGTTGCAAACGGCCACGTACTTGAGGATGCGTGTCTTCTTTCAATGCCTCCATCATCACCTCCCGAGTGTCTTCACACAAATAGACCGGACACCCTTCTTGGGGACACTTGAACCTCAATGGACCAAAATTGGATCGGGGGTTGACACATTCAATGAATCGATGGGGATGAAAGGGACACGATTCATACAGGAGCTGGTTGAACTGGGTGTCCATCTGGTCCAGGTCATGTACTTCCCATTCCCCCACTTCAGTCGCTGGATCCGAATGAAACGTCCCTTCCTCTATACATTCTTCTTCATAGTCCTTCAGGGTTCCCTCCATCAGCTCGTTGACGGAACAGACGGGAGATGGTGTGGGGGGTGGCGGTGGGTCATTCGCTCGGGGCAGGGCCTTCAGAGCCAACACGAGTTCACTGGTGGGGGGTTGAGTGGCTTTCATGTCCAGGGCTTCAGCGGGGGACAGACCGATTTGGGCCATCTCGACTTCACGGGTGGCTCTCATATCTGGGGCTGGCGCTTGAGCTTCCCCCTTGGGTTTTTACTACTCACTCGACGTCGTTTGCGTCCCGAGGGCACAGCAGCAGGTTGAGTGGCTTGACGCTCCATCCCTCGTCTAAAGTGACTCTGACTGGACGTCTTGCCTGCCTTTTATAGCTCATCCTCCTGCGTCTCGTGATGATCGTATGATCTTTTTCTCCACCAATCCTGACTCAACCTGTGCTCTCGTGAGGGTGGTGTGATCAGACGGTTCGCCAATCAGAGCCCACGCCTTCCGCTATAAAACCAAAGGTGGTTCGAAGGCCGTCTCATTCGTCGCGGTCTTCTCTCATTGGACGGTAAGCGATCATGGCGCTCCACGAAGTGGGTCTCTTGGTGTA